AGAAGATTGTGTACAAAGGCTAGGGTTAGCAAGAAGAAATGCCAAAGTTTTTATTTCATGTTTAGGGTCTTTGGATACGAAAACTAATGGAATTACGGAAATAAACTTCGTTCCGCATTTTCCGGCGAAAGTGTCATTTAAAACACCAGTATTTATCATCAATAGAATTATTGGAACTTTGCCGCATTTTACATTGGATAAGAAGTACGTTGAGGAATATAATGATTTAATGTTAGCAGATCCAACATTTTACAAAAGTGGGCCTGTTGATATACTTTTAGGCGTAGATATTGCCTTACCTCTTTTAAAGGGAGAAATAATTAAATGCGAAGAAGGTAAACCGGTAGCTTCTCGTTCTGAACTAGGATGGATTATTTCAGGTAGTGTGAATAATTCAACAGAAATTAATCCTACTATCTATGTTAATAATATACAAGTGGAAACTGATCAGATGCTGTCTGACTTTTGGAAATTGGATGCTGTACCTACGTTTGACATGCTTACTAAATCGGAGAGAGCATGTGAAGATTATTTCAAATCTACATATACGAGAGAGGAAAGTGGGGTATATACTGTGAAATTACCGTTTCACTCTCCGCCTTCTCAGCTTGGAGATTCCAGACAATTAGCTATGCGTAGATTCCAATCTTTAGAAAATTCACTTCTAAAAAGGCCTCAGATATATGAACAGTATAAGGATTTCATGAGGGAATACCTTGAGCTGAGACATATGGAGGGAGTGCCTGAGGGAGAGATTCTTATTGACTCTACGTATTACATGCCTCATCATGCCGTATTAAAGGAATCAAGTACTACGACTAAACTGAGAGTTGTTTTCGATGCTTCAGCTAAAACGACATCGGGTCTTTCATTGAATGATATTTTGATGGTTGGGCCAAGAGTTCAGCAAGAGCTGTTTCCAATTCTTCTACGGTTTAGAAATCACAAAATTGCAGTATGTGCCGATGTAGAGAAGATGTTCAGACAAATTCGTGTCCACCCAGAAGATACAAATTGGCAACGAATGCTTTGGAGGGATAGTCCTAGTGAGCCCTTGAGTACATTTAGATTAGTGACAGTTACATATGGGACTGCCTGTGCGCCATATTTGTCTACTAGAGTAATGAAACAACTTGCATTAGATGAACAAGTGAGATTTCCTTTAGCATCAAAAATTGCCCTTCGTGATTTTTATGTTGATGATTTGCTTTCAGGGGCACAAAGTGAAGAGGAAGCGAATGTTCTAGTTCAGCAGTTGAATGAAATGATGAAAAGGGGTGGATTTCGCTTAAGGAAGTGGATTTCAAACAGTTCAGCTATTTTAGAGAATATTCCCGAGTGCTTACGAGAATCCAGTATTTCTCTTGAAATAAACAGTGACAAGAAAGTAAAAGTATTGGGAATTAATTGGAACAACTCTAGTGATACGTTTCATTTTTCGGTATGCATAAGTGATAAAGAGTTTACTAAGAGGACTATTTTATCAGAAGTAGCCAAAATCTTTGATCCAATGGGATGGTTAGCGCCAACAATAATATACGCGAAAATATTATTACAAGAGTTATGGAACTTACAGCTGGGTTGGGATGAACTCGTTGATAAGAGAATAAGTAGAAAATGGAAGCGTTTCTATCTAGAATTGCCCTTACTTTCAAGCTTACAATTTCCGAGGTATGTCTTGAGTCCGAAGGCAGTAGTGATAGATATCCATGCTTTCTGCGACGCTTCAGAAAAGGCTTATTGTGCAGTCATCTATCTCCGTACAATCGACCTTGATTCGTCAGTCAAAGTCAGCCTTCTGACATCGAAAACCAGAGTAGCGCCCTTAAAAACCCAGTCTCTTCCGAGACTAGAGTTGTGTGCTGCGTTACTTTTAACAAACCTCTTACATGCAGTATTATCATGCATAGAACTGCCTATTAACAATATTTACGCATGGACCGACTCGCGGGTTACATTGGCATGGGTTTCGTCCGAACCTCGCCGTTGGCTACCTTTTGTGGCAAATCGAGTTGCAAAAATCCAGGAAGCTGTTCCAGGTATTCAATGGAATTATGTTGCTGGGAAAGAAAATCCTGCAGACTGTGGGACCAGAGGTTTTATTCCATCAGAATTCCTACAATGTGAGTTATGGATGAAGGGACCGCAGTGGTTAAACGAATCCGTAATTCATGTACAGCAAAATTCAAGTGTAGAATTAGAGGGTGAAGTTATGTTGAAGGAATTGAAAAAGAGTTTCAGTTCAAATGCTTCCAAATTTGAAGAGCCTAGTGTGTTTTCAAGATTTTCGTCATGGTTAAAGTTATGTCGAGTGTTAGCGTGGTGTTTAAGATTTAGAAATAATTGTAGTAAGTTACCTACAGAGCGTATAAAGGGGTATTTATCTACTGAAGAATTCTGTGAAGTTACTTCTATGATTGTTAGGATTGTGCAAAGAGCCGAATTTCCAGAAGAATTATTCTGTTTAGAATCTGGTAAACCCTTGAAGACATCAAGTAAATTACTGTCTTTAAGTCCTTTCTTGGATTCCGCGGGAGTAATGCGTGTAGGCGGAAGGCTCAGAAACTCTACAGTTTCAAATAATCAGAAACATCCTATGATTTTACCTAAGAATCACAATATTACGCGTTTAATTATTAAGCATTATCATGACACGTATCTTCACGCAGGTACGCAGCTACTCACTTCTGTCATACGACATAGATTTTGGATTGTGAATGCTAGAGATATTATAAGAAAGTGTATAAACCAATGTGTTATCTGCCGTAGAGTTAGAGCGCAAACTGCAACTCAGCTAATGGCAGATTTACCCGCTTCAAGAGTTACTCAAAGTAGAGCTTTTTCTCGTGTAGGGATTGATTTAGCAGGACCATTTAACGTTAAATATCGTCCTGGTAGAGGAGTCAAAATCTTTAAGTGTTACGTATGTCTATTTATTTGTTTTACTACAAGAGCAATACACTTAGAATTAGTTGGAGATCTTTCAACAAAATCATTCCTCGCGACACTTAAGCGGTTTATAGCTCGTAGAGGCAAACCGTGTGAAATTCACAGTGATTGTGCAACGAATTTTATAGGAGCTAATAAAGAATTAAGGAAAGCCTTTTCTATTGTTCAACGTGATGAACAGCTACAGGGTTATATTTCTTCAGAAAATATTAAATGGTTGTTTAATCCTCCCTCTGCCCCTCATTTTGGAGGGCTTTTGGGAAGCGGGAAGCGGGTATCAAGTCTATGAAACATCACTTAAAAAGATGTTTAGGAACACTTATTTTAACATACGAGGAATTTTTGACATTAATAACCCAAATTGAATCCTGTCTTAATTCTAGGCCTTTAGTACCAGCTTCAAGTGATTGTAGCGACTTGGAGGCGATAACACCAGGACACTTTTTAACCGGAGCGGCTTTAAGCGCTATTCCAGAATCTAACCAAATTCAAGAAACCATGAGCTGCAGTGACCGTTGGAGGAACGTGCAAAGGTTATTTCAACATTTCTGGAATCGTTGGAGCAGTGAGTATTTATCTAGATTGCAGCAGAGACCCAAGTGGTGCAAGGTTACAACAAGACCTGAAGATTGGTGATATGGTTCTTATTAAGAACGAAAATCTACCTCCGCTACGTTGGAAATTAGGTAGAATTATTAAAGTGTATCCTGGTCTGGATGAGAAAGTTCGAGTGGTGAGTTTACGCACGTCTAATGGTGAAATAAATAAAACGACCTATAGCAAAGCTATGCGCTTTGCCATTTAATTCCTGATTTAGAGACTTTAATTTTTTTTTTCAGGTTTATGCAGTTCAACAGTTTAAATTTATTGTTTGAACCCCCTTGGGACTTCAAGGCTGGGGGTATGTTCGATGTTATGCAAATTGTATTTCTTTCTTTGTACCGAGGAGCGGCGCAGACGCAAATTTGTTAGGTTTTTAAAGCTCGCGGTTTAGAGCTTTGAGGTTGCTGTGAATTACTGGAGTTTCAACTAAGCAGAGGTTCTACTGAGTTTGTGTTGGTAAGCCGCCACTGAAGTCGGAGTTTGTGTGGTCTTCGCCGTTCCTCAACTAACTTACTATTTAAAAGTCAATAAAGAAGTTTCGGTCAACGTTAGGAGTCTGAGGTTTTTGAGTTCTATACTGAAGTAACATCAAGTTAATTTACAGTCCACTATATTTAAACAACGGAACGTACAAATACCATAATCTTTGTTTATATTATTAAGAATTTTTACCTTAGGAGTTGACGGTGGTGATTGCCAAGACATCCTAGAATCCACAACTCCAATCGGAACTTGTTAATATGTCGAAGGATGTTCGTCTGACACCTATAAACAATATTTTATGGAAATTTATATGATATGAATTAAAATATACTGTGACTAGAGTAGTATATTTCACTATATAATAAATTTGGTAAAGTCTATGATAATTACAGTAACGAATCTACGTATCCGTTATCTTTGCATATGTTAAGATACCTCAAGATATGGAAGAAAACAGCCATATAGTCTTCAGAACCTGAAGTTGTAGTTTATTGTGAGCATTTCAGGCAGATAGATCTTTGATGTGTAATTAAAAATCTAATCTGCCTGAAATGTTCACACATATAACAGTCAACAACAAATCAATTGAAGCCTGGGGCTTATTTCACTCTTCTAATATGCAGCTGTAAAGAAGTGTTTTACTAATACGGAATGGTTATTAAATACTTTACATAAAAAAAACAATTTCGAGTGTAATGTCGTATTTCACATATTCTTAATAACGCAGTTCCTGAGATTAAATGGATTTCAGAACACTCTTTCACCTTGATTAGTTTGTTAAATCTCGAGTTTACCATTCCAGATTAGTTAAACCGATAGTTTTTTTATTATTATTATTTGAAACCAAGTCTTTCATTTTTGATGATCCTCTATTAGTTGGAATTTCGTTTGAATTTGTTGACTGGTTTAATAAAATTGAATATTTAAGAGCAAATATGACAATTTTTATTCTTTTATCTTTTCAGACGAAAGCGCACTTGGATGTTCTCGCTGACGCCTTGCTACGGTGGGCCCGTGGACGATATTGAACAACGGAAAGCCAAACTCCCAATGGAAAAAGAGAACTCAAACCCACCCAAAGACAGCATAAAATTACCTAACGGTCCCTTTCTGAAAAACAACCTCCTGTCCCTTCCAAAAGGAAAAGAAAAAAAGAACCCGTCGATTTTCAGAAGTTTCTTCTCTGTGGAACTATCATTCTATTCTAATCGTTATCTCATTTTGTTTACCTATTATACTATTTATTATTCTATTTACTGTTAATTTATCTCATGAAGTTTCTACGAGAGGTGTGCTAACAGTTCCTAATGACTTATTTCGCTTATTTTTGTATTCATTTGGTTTGAAAGCACATACGAAAGTTTTTTCCATATTCTTATGAAATATACGTTAGTAGCTTTACGAAATCTATGTTATCTTATTACTTTTTCTTGTAAAAGAAGAATGATGACGATTCAGAACTCAATGTTTCGCTCAAAAATATATACATATATATATTTTTCCCGATTAACTTTCTCTGTAAATGTGCTGTAACAGTCCTTTGTGTTCATTAGAATTTTTCCACTGTAAATATTGCGGAAAGGTGCTTGTAAAATTCAATAGATGATTTATGAAATATTGTTGGAAAGAAGAAATCAATTGTTATGTTGGCTCGATCACAGGTGTTAAAAGAAACTGCAGATATAAGATACGGTTACAGCTCATTGACAAAGGAGTTGTTTTTGAAATATTCCATCCCAATCGTATTAAAATAATGCATGCCAAGGAATATATGTATGTAAGTTTTATACTTCTTGTCCATGAGTATTAATTCAAGAATTTTCAGATTTGATTAATGTTTTGTATCTGTATGCTTTTCGAATGTTTAAAAACTCTGTAGCTCATAAAAATGGACTTTCTGGTATAATTCTAATGTATGGAAGCTTGCGAAAAAACGGTGGAATTTATTTCGTAATATTTGTAAACGTATATATGAATATTTGTGTTATCCCGTGTTTTAGCCAGCATGAGTTTTATGTAAGTGCTTGTTGGAATAGCCAATTGATTTTCAGATTTCCGGATTATTTATTGGGCATATAATTATATAATTTTCTAACTAGTAATTAGAGCTTACTTGTTTTATTAAAATCTTTATGAAGTACATGCACTGCATACGTCGTTAAATTGCCTGGCTTCGGAACCCAGAATATAACTCTTCTTTACACAGTAATTATTTTGTTATTAATTAATTCAGCATAAGAAGTAAATAACTTTTCCTTTTCATTTGGAATAAAATTTAGCTTCAATATACTCAGCTAATGAAATGTTATTTACATTAATTTATATTTAATAACATCTGTAATCCTAAACGGTTTATTTGGCATAAAACAAAAACATTTAAGTGTTTAAGTTTAACGTTAATTTATGTTCAGAATTACTTATAATTATTAGAATTGTGGCAATGATTATGGTAAATAATACAATTTTACTTATCAAAATCTAAACGAAATAAATTAATTCTTTAAACGCCACTTTTTAATCCTTCGTAGAATGTAAAATGCTAAAGGCATTTTAATTGCTTCTAATTATACAAACTTCGGGATGATAGCAAAGTTAATTTTACATATTTCTGTTTAATACTAAGAACAATTGAATTGTATATATTAATTAAGCAAAATTATTTCGATGCATTTTTAATTTATCTTAAAATGTCTTTAATTTATCTTTAAACTTTATTTTAAAATGTCTTTAATTTAGCCTTAAATTTATCTTAAATATGAAATTGCATTCATGTATTTGTTATTTTTTAAGCGTTAAGCATAAAATATACTGGAATGCAAAAGAAAATGTCTAGCAATTGCACTAAATATTAGCAGTTCATTATGCAGTTCCATATTTTTCATCAAAATAACTATTTTTCGTAATATATTCACTCACATAGCTAGCTTTCTTTAATTTGCTTCTTGATATTCTGAGTTTACGAGGGAAATGCATTCAAAAAAAATGCTGGTTCAAATAAATATTTTATATTGCCAACGCCGTCTACGCTCATTTCCATTGAGCATTGAGAGGTCAGTTTTGAAGTACAAATTATTTAGGTGAAAAAGGCATTTCGACTGAAAAGGAATTTAAGTGATGTAGTCTAAAATATGTGTTTGGAGAACTGTTTGCACACCCCTACCTTTTACTATTTCTTAGGTCTACATGTTTGTTTTCTTTTATAATATAAGTGTACTTAAATATTCGGTACATCTGACAAAGCCACAAGTGTATGAGGGAATATTTTAACAAGAATTTGAGCAAATAAACAAATAGAACTATTTTTAAAGTTATTTAGTTCTTTACAAGAGCATGGGCGGCTCGGGAAGAAATAAATCATTCCATGAAACGGCATTCCAAAGCTTCTACGCAGCAGCGCAGCGCTTGTTGGAAACCTTTATCGTTTGCAATGACTCAAAATGTATCGGTGTATGTTTACTTTTGCAACATGGAGAAAGCAAAACTGGTGCTAAATTTAACTTTGCCTACTAGTTATCAATTTTGAGTCAAAATTAACTGACATTTGTTTTTAATTAAGAGTTTGTTTCTAGTTAAAAACTGCTTTGAATTAAAACTGTGATATCAAAATTTATGACTGAGACTTATTTCAGGATGTTTCAGAGAAAATGCTACAACTTCGAATGCACATTTCGCAATTTTTTGTATGATTTACAACTATAACAATCCTTTAAAAAGTTGCAGTTTCGAATATATGGTTTAAAAAATTTTAACTATGCAGTTACTACGCTCGCTAATCGTCTGAGAAAAGCAGAATGAACAAATATTAAAAAAAAGGTCAAACCATGAATATTAATTTACATATTTCAAAAATCTACCTCCCTATAATTTCTACTATGGAAGAATATGATACCCAACTTTCGATTTAGTAATCGTTTACAAACATAAATTATTGCTACAATTACCTTCAAAAGTAAAGTTAGAACAATTTCTGTTGAATTTTTGTTTGTAATCTTCAAACATAATGAAAATTCTGATATTGCTTTGTATGTTTAGCTAAGATTTAATTTATATAGTATTGAATAACAATTGGGAATTACTTTTACTAACTGTTGCATGATCTGAAATATTTAAATAATCGTCATTTCTACGAATTATTAATATTATTGTGAATATGAATTATAGTAACATTAAGGCTAAATATTCTTTTTTAGTGAGCATTTATAAAACTTTTATTTCTTTTAATGTTATTCCTTTTAAAATTTCAGAAAAAAAAGTAAGAGTAATTTTATAAAGTTTCCTTTGGTATACCATCAAAAATAAAAAATTCTTTGTTGTAACTTGTTATATCGATAGTTATTTATTCAATTATTTCATGATCATTTACATAATTGTTTAATATACATTGAAAAATGTTTTATAACAGAATCTATAATAATTTATTTATCATTAATCGAAATATGCTTATCAATAAAATTATTATTTTAAGTCTTAGAAGAATTTGAAAGCATCTCCTTTAAGTTGAATTCCATAACTGTTACTTAGTAGACAAAGTGTTAACTTAAATTATTAATATATTTAAATATATTTTACTAATTATATACTAGTTGCAATGTTATTGATGTCAAAAATCTAAATTATACATTACGTCTATTATAATATGAAGCTTATTCAGGGTTTTATGCTATTTAATTGTTTGTTTCAAACAAATATTTATGAAAGAAAATCATATTTAATAGTTTAGACGACAAGCTTTTTAAGGGACATCATTTAAAACACAAACGGAAGGAAAATTCGGGGAAATTTTCAAGAATGTGCTTAAATATTATTCCATCCTGGTAATTGTATTTCTCAATACTTAGAATTATAGATTCAATTTCCACCAATTTTATTTTTTCGAAATAAAAGCTTATTAATTTAAAACTGTAACAACAATCATAATGTTGTTTACTTATTTATGTATTTTTAATTTTACGTTACAAAAAACGCATTATTTGAGTTTATATGAACAGAAAGATGCGGTTACAGTTATGTACTTCATCAATGTAAACAAAAAGAAATTTCATAGTTTAATTCTTATACTGTGAAAGCAAAAATAATTTTCTGTTTAATTTTTACAGCTTATATCAATGAAAATTTAATTGTTTTATTTCAGTTAAAAGAGAAATACACGAACTAAGCTTTTAGGTAAATCAGAATCATCATATGTAAGAGAAACATTCCGAAGTAACTGCCATAAAGAACAAAATTTTGCCAGATTAAAATTAAATAAATTTTACATTGGCATTTTTACCATACGGACAATTTAATAAGGAATAATAATGCCATTCAGATATATTTGCCATAAGGAATAAAATAAAATGAAGTTCGCCATAAATTACGCTACGCGGTTAAATAACTTTTCCCATAAAAATAATTTAGTAAGAGATAATAATGCCGTAAGACCACAAAGAAAAACAATGTGATAAGGCATTTTTACCATATTTTTGTCATAAATGATAAAATTAAACAAATTTTACAATACATTTTTTCCGTTTATTTTGAAATAATATAAATTTTACTAAATGGAGCAAAACGTTTTTTATTCCATTGGCCAACAAACTAAGTAATTATTTCATCATTATATATATAATCAAATTAATAAAATTAAAAAACTACCCTATTAATAATTCAAATTTAGCGCAGAATTAAGAATTCCAATTCGAAATCAACATTACTCCAATCAGCTATGCAATTTAAGTACCAGTTCCCAAAAGTTTCAAACATAATAAATTTTTAAAAAATTTATAAAAAAAATTGAAAAAGGGAAGAATGGAAGTCAGTATGTAAAGGGAAATTGTCTGTCAAGCAATAGCTAGTAAATTGAAAAAAATAGTATTATAAAGATTTGTTTACATAAAATCTTCACAAGGTCTGCCGGGAAAAATGTCAGACGTTTACAAGCTCACGGTCGTCTGGTCACATGATCATTTATTTTTAACAGTAGTAGTAATAAAGCTAATAAAATCTAAATGAAAATTAAATGAAAAGTTAGAAAAATGAACAATTGCAAAGTGAGACAACGCCGATTCTTCAGGGGCTTTTGTCAAAATTCTTACTAGTGTGATGATTAATTATTTGCAAGTCAAGATTGTCTATTATATGTTGATCGGTATTAGTAAGAATTAGTGTGAGACTGCTAGGATAAATTAAATATATGGATATATAATTACAGTGCATACTTTTGGGGAAAGATTCTATGCTATTCCTTTAAGATTTATACTCTTCGTTGAAATACTGCCGCGCGCACTAGAAAGATTTATAAATGTTTTAAAATTTACTATATACCGACTATTGAGAAAACTAATTTATACCAAATATTTTTATCATATTTTGTTTAAAACAAAATCATGGATATTAACTTATATATTGTTTATCAAGCCAATTCTATGAGAAATAATGCCGGGTTTTAAATTGGAAAGTAACTTTGCATTGATGCAAATTATTGTTTAATTATTTGCTATAGCAAAATCGGTAATAGTTTTAGATTTCCCTAAAATTAACATCGAAAGTAATACTTCCCACTAGCTGCTGTAGCTGACATCTTGGGGCTCCTTTTCACACACAAAAAAAAAGCATTTGGTGGCTGTATTGCTTTCGGTTTCAAAGTATGTTTATTCAAATCTGTTGCCACTGTAAAATTGTTATCAGTAATAATTTGTAACACATATGTTAGATGGTAATTTAAAAAAAAACTAAGTAGTTCAAGAAATATATTTAAAATTTTATGTTAAAAAAGTATTCAAACCTGGCGAAGATTTTGAAGGATTCGAATAATAAAGACTGCAGAGTAATTAGTTCTTTTTAAATCTGTAGCTAATAAATATGTTTTGAGAACTTGTCGAATTGCATATCAAATAAATAAATTTTATTTTCAATTAAATGTATTTATTCGATCCAACTAACTGCTTATTTTCATAAAAGAATATTATTTCTTTGAATGATTATTTTGCTTCTAAATATTATGGGGAATTAATTGGTCTAAAGTGTAAATTTTACTAATTAATTTTCATTTCTTTCTTCCCTAAGACAGGGGGAATTAGTTATAATGATTTAGTTTTAATTCATGAAATAAGAAGCGCTGATTTTTAGAAACGGATACTAATTCTTACATAAGCGTTTCAATTAAAACCTAGCTATTATTGATCCAGTGAGCAAAGATTTGGAAGACATTGAAGGTTTCGGTTTGTTACCTATAAAGCGAAAATGAAAAAAAAAATCTTTTCTGTAATATTCTAAACTGGTGTGGTTTTAATTACTTCCTTTCAAACAGTATTTGGTATAAAAGATTGGTAAGTACACTATTTTTAACTCATGAACTAGAACGTGCGAATTAAAATTTGTATATTATGTTACGTAAAATAAAATAAGCTGCTTGAAACATGAAATCTTTAATTTTTACTTTATGCTTCTTCTCGCAGATAAGAAAATTTAAAGTATTATTTTTTCCTTCGATGTGTAGCAATTCTTAAAATGTTGCCATTCAGTTAAACGTAACT